GAAAGGGGGCTCCCCACCGTAAAGTTGCTCCTTTTTGCAGCTTTTCTTTCGGACCCCCTTATCCCTCTGGCTGCGCGAAGCCCCAAACTCCCTTGGACAGGCCCACCCTCACCGCAGTCGACGGCTGCGATCCCTACCCCGCTCTCACCCCCTGAGGGTCCTTGACGAAGTAGCTGCCGCTGGAGCCTTGGTAGATGCGCTCAGGGAAGATGCAGCGCTCGATGGCCACCTCGGCCTGTCGCACCACCGCCTCGAACTCCGGGTCCTCGGGAAACTCGTTTCGTTCGCGGTGGGCCTGCGCGGCGTGAGCAGCTGCCGCGGCCTGGGCGGCCAAGGCTTGGGCCTGAGCGGCCACAGTTTGGTTCTGGCCCTGGGCTGCCGCACCCCTGGCCCGATCCAGCAGTGGCTGCCGCTCCCGGTCGTGGCCTGGCGAACCAGGCGGAGAGAGGGCCGGGCCGGCGGCTGCCGCCACTCGCACGGCGCCCCCCGGTACCTGCGGAAAGTGAGCGCCTGAGCCGGATGGAAAGGTGTAGTCCGGGGGTTGGCCCCGCTCTGGGGACACTAGTGGGCTCGTCTCGTCCATTCCTTAGGCCGCCGGCTCCGGGACCCGGCGCGTTCTACACAGCTGAGCTCCGGGAGGGGACCAATCGGCAACACCCCCAACCCCCTCTTGGCCAACCAGGTAGCGGTGCCTCTTTGGCCCCGCCCCCACCTTTCCTGTTTACTTGGCGACGAGTAGGCACAACCCCTCGCGCGCTAACCTTAGCCAATCAGAATCAGCGCCTACGCAATCGCGTCCTCGGCTTTTTTTTCTCGTCACTTTTCCTGTGGATCGCGCATGCTCCAGGAGCCAAGCTCAAGTCAGACGCGCCCTCACCTCTTAGCTTTCAATTGCTAAGCAATGTCTGGGTGTTTTCAATAAAGTAAGCCTACTAATCACTAATTGAGTACCTACTGTGAACCAGCTGTAAGACTGTAGCAATCTGATCTTTGTATCTGAATTCATTCAATCTGGCACTCGGTCATTAAATATTTGTTGAGCACCTACTCTCTAGATGCTAGAGAGACGGCAGTGAAGCAAAGAAACAAAAATCCCTGCTCTACCTAAATAAAAAGTTTTTTCAAAATCCCAGCCCTCGTGCAGCTTACACAGTGCCTGCAAAAAGCTCAATGTTTATTTATTAATCGAGGAAAGATATGGTCCATTAGACTAAAAAAGTTTGAGGTAAGACTCCCTGACTCCCAAGACTCACTGTAAAATCTCATGCTCTGTACATTTTTATTAGTGGTAAAGAGAAGAATGAGTCCCTGCCCTCAAGCTGAAGACATACAAGTCTCTGAGGCAATGGGAGGAGCAGAGCCAGCAATGAGAGCTGAAAACTCCTTAACAGAAGTTCAGTGACTTAGGGATAGGCTGGAGAGTCAGTAAAGGCCTTAAGTGGGGCATGTGCTATGAGCTAAGTATTGAAGAATGTACTCAAATCACTGGTTTACAGGAGAGTGGAGAGAAGAGGGAGTCATAGACATTTGAATTTGGAGTTTGAACCCTGGTCTCTCACTTATTAGTTATTTTGTATGAGTTACATAGCTCTCTAAGCCTCAGTTTTCTCATCTATAAAATGGGAATAATCATCTCTTCCTAAACTGATTAAATAAGAATCATGATAAGTATATAAAGAATTTAGTATATTGCTTAATACATTAAAAAGCAATCAATAAATGATAGATTTTTAAAATCACTGCTGAGGTTATCATAGATGTTGGTTTTTGGTTTTGTTTTTGGTGGGTTTTTTTGTGTGCTTAAAGTAACGAGAAGAGAGAGTGTGGATTTTCACAAAAGGTGACTGGTTATGTTAAATAGTAACCAATATGTCATAATCATTCTGAAGAATAGGGTAGGGAAATAAAATGGAGTCACCATAGTCAAACTGCTAAATTACTAAAAATCAAGTCAGCTGAGGCATGAAGAAATTATTCTAGTCCTGTTTCAACTAGCCTGGAAACTTAAACTTTTGAACTTTCCAGTCCTGCCTCAATGCCTGGACATACTACAATTCATTTTGTATCAGTACCTGGACATACACCAGACCTCCTAAGAATGCCTGAAGGACTCATGTATCCAGACTATGTGGCATAGATCTGACATCTATTATCCAGACTACAGATGTAACCAGGGCTCCTAGCACCCATCTTCTAGACCAGCTAGCATCCTCATCCATATCTCCTGACAGCTGACTGAATACTAACTACCTTGAGCCGATCCTAGGGTTAAGAATGCAAAATTGATATTCTGAAGAATGCATTTTTCACTATAAGAACTCTTAATTTTTCTTAATTGTTTGGAAAATACTTATAAGTTTTTGCCTAGTTATGTTTCTGTTTTACAAACTCTAAGACCCTTGAATAAATCTTTATCATTTATTTCTAGCCACAGCCTCCAAATTTTCTTTAAGCTCTTTTGACATATCTCTATTAAACCAAATTATTGCCACAGCTAACTAGAAGTACTGAATTCTTTAATTACATTTATGTGGATGACTTAAACATTTATTTTACCAAATAAACCATTCAGCAAAGGTCCATACAGATGATTCAATTACTCTTTTCAGTTACAAGACATATGTTTCCCTTTACTACCCAAACATCAAATAATTAAGTAATACTTGCCTCTTGTGTGCTGGGGGCCATAGCCACAAAGATGATCTCCTGTATAACTCATCTTATTTAGCTCCTGAGCTTCAAGTTGTGGTCAAGGAGAGCTCCAGGATTTAGAGTTCTCCCCTGAATTCTGAGTTTTCTCTATGTGAAACCTTCAGAATTTGTTTCTGTATCCACCTCTTGGAACTTGACTTTCCTTTTATTGGAAAGAGCATAATACATTATTTTGAGTGCATTACATGAATTAAGTCATGTAACCAGCATTACAGTTCCTATGATGTCAGAAACTGAGTAAAGTAACTTGCCTTTCATCATGAAGTAGGTAAGTTGCACAGCTGAATCAAAATCCAGGCAGACTAGCCCCATGCTTGTAACACTATACTTCTTATTAAATACCTCTATGAAGTGTATTTTGTATTTACCCTCTTTCTTTCCATCTGCAGATGCCACATTGCAGGATGTCTTAGCTATGGTATTACAACGGCTCCTGAGTTTGTTTTTCTTCTTCCAATTTCTCTCTGATTATCTCTGGGTATGACTGCCATATTCACTTTATTAAAACACCAGTTTCATTGTGTCACTGTTTTGATCAAGATACTGCATTTTCATTGTTGTAAAATATATATAGTATTTATCATTGTAACCATTCATAAGTATACAATTCAGTAACGTAAATACATTCACAATGCTGTGAATGTATCACCACTATCTCTACCCAAAACTTTTTCATCATCCCAACAAAAACTCTGTACCCATTAACAAATAACTCCCTCTTCCTCTAGATCCTGCTAACCTCTATTATAATTTCTGTGACTTTGAAGTTGCCTATCCAAGAAACTACATTTTGCACAACATATCTTTCCTCTAATTCTTCAAGTCTTCCCATAATTTGATAATGTATTAACCTTATTTCTTCATATTTTCTTTTTTTAATGTATATTTAATTTTATGAGATAACTTTCTTAAAGAGAAGGTGCTGTTTAACAGGGAAGAGAAGAGGGGGAAGGGAAGAAGTGAGGGAGAGAAATATCAATGTATGGTTGCCTCTCCAGCGTCCCCTGAGCTGCTGGGAACTGGCCTGCAACCCAGGCATGTGCCCTGACTGGGAATCGAACCTCTATTCTCTGATTCGCAGGCCCGCGCTCAATCCACTGAGCTACACCAGCCAGGTTCTTCATGTTTTCTAACACGCATTCTCTAACCTAATAAAATCTATTTTCTTGGCACTATTCTCTCAACTACTGTAATTATATCTCTAGTTATTACCACACAGTTTATCATGTTTAATATTCAGCCAGACTGAACCTTGCAGATCTGCTAGTTCAATCTCATTTTACAGGCTAGAAAGCTTAATAGCTTGCTTGAAGCCACACACAGTTGGTGGCAGAGATGGGATTTTAACACAGAATCCAAGTCTTATAAAAACTATTTAAAACTGCCATTTACTGAGCACTTACAATATCTCAGACACAGTACTGAGCATTTGACACTGTATTCTCAAACAAGTCCTGGGCAACCTTTATCACCATCATCATTCTACTTTTCTGTTCTACAGATGAAGAAAAATCCCAGTTCAGAGAGGCAATATGCTTCTTCATGTGTTTGCTTTCTCTTAATAATTAAATATAGTTTTAGATTTTTCCATATGCATAATAAAATCTTTTCGTCTTCACACTTAGGCAGTAAGTCCCAAGAGGGAAGTGATCATGTTCTTTCTAGCCTGGCAGAACCCTAGCATCATGCTGCATTACCATTGTTCAGTAAATAAACGTATGGATAAACTGATGTGCGTGGTATTTGAGAGGGCTTGCTTCAGTCTTGGCACATTTTAAAATCGAAGGATCTGTGTCATGACAATGACAACACATCCCTACAGTGAATGTAAAATTGTCTCGATATCACAGTGCTAGCACAGGGTTGACACTAATTAAACTGCAAGTGCCTGCTCCAGCACCCTACAATTTACAAAGCTGTCCCTCGAGGTTCAGTCCTTAAACTCTGCAGCCGGGCAGTGTACAGCTGTGGAGAGCGGAGCAGAATCAGAGCCGCTGGAGTTGGCGGTCACTGCTTCACTGTTGCGTCTGACACAGGTTTCATTTTGTTCTGTTTGGGGTTGACGTTTTGGCTTTGCTGCCGCGGGCCGTGGGAGGCCTGAGTGCTCTATCAGGATTGCCAAAGTGGGATCTGGGGGTTCAGCCCATTTCTCTATCGAATATCCAGCCAGGAGCTCCCAAGACACTGAGCCCCGCACAAAGATGGCGCTGAGCCCGGCTTGAGCCAATGGGAAGTGGCGTTGCTCCTGGTTGCCTAGGTAACAACCAATGGGCGGCGGGAATTGTGCCCAGTGCAGCCGCCAACGATGGCGGCGTTAAGTGGGGCAGGTGCTGGTGGAGGTGGCGGAGAGGCAGGTGTCCTGGACTAGCTCGACGGATCTAAGGTCCCGGGCACTGGAACCCCTCGCCAAGGCGTGACGGTCATCCCAAAAGACGGAGCCCAGGTTGTTTGGTAGTACTCGTGGAAGGGGGACCGGAAGGGTGTGGCCAGTGAGGAAGGGGCTGAGGAGCCCAGCCCGAAATCTTGGGGTGGGGACCGTGGCTCCACGCCCGACTCGCTGATGGGAGGGTGGCTGCCTGGGGTGCCAAACTCGGGTCTCTCATCGCCGGGGGCTGAGGCCTGGGAGAGCCCGCGGCACCCGGGTTAGCGAGCAAGGTGGTTGGGGAAGGCATACCTCTGTGAGCGGAAAGTCCCGCCCGAGCAGGAGAGCAGACCTGGGGTTGAGGGCAGGAACAGTTGCAGAAGGCAAGAACGAGTGAGTGAAGGAAAGGGGAGGTCGACAAGGAATTGTTCTTTTGCCATGTAGGGCTTTGTTTGCTCCGGGCCCGCCTCTCTCTCACTACGGTAGAGAGACGTCCCACACCTCAAGGTTTGGGGAAATGAGGTGCCTCAGGTAGTTGATGGTAGTAGTATCCTTGTAGTCTAGAATGTCCAAACTGCTTTGGTATCAGCAGGAGTAATTGGGCTGTATTAGAACCCAGACCAGGCATCATCCTTAACCATGAAATAGAAGAGTATCCTGACGGTCCCCATTACCCCCAAGTCGTCTTTTTATTTTTTATTTTTTTACCTTCTTACTTGGGTCAGGATTTTCTGCCTAGGTTCTTCAATCTAACTATCCCACAGGCTTCCTAAGACTTTTTAGTAGCGATACATTTGTTTACTTTTCTAGTGGAAGGGAGACTTACTGGGGGGAAAAAAAAGACTATTTCAAGCCCATTTAAAACACTTTAAAAAGAACGTTTGAATTTTTGTTCTAGATTGCATCTTTGTTCATCAAAGCCTTCATTTTCTTTTCTTAAGGATTCTAAAAGCGTAAGAACTGCTTTTTTTCCAAAATATTTTATTATTTATTTTTAGAGACAGGGAAAGGGAGGGAAAAAGAGAGGAGGAGAAATGTCAATGTGTGGTTGACTCTCAGGTCAACCACGTGCCCTCACTGGGGGACCTGGCCCCCCAACCCTGGCATGTGCCCTGACTGGGCATCAAACCTGCCACTCTGGTTTGCAGCCTGTGCTCAATCCACTGTGCTACACCAGCCAGGGAAGAACTGCTTTCTTTATAACTGAAGAAATTTTTACAAGACTGTCGTACTTAGGGGAGGGTAGCTTAGGAGAGGGGCAGTATTGAAGGTATATGTGGGTAATCGAGGTTGCTGAAAATTTATTCCTCTTCATGTTAGATTTTTGTTTCTAATTCTCTGCCTTTGGACACAGGTTACTATGAATGCATAAATATTTTTTAACAAGTCTGAGTTCTAACGTTTAAAAAGACAAACAGGCCCTGGCTGGTATAGCTCAATGGATTGAGTACGGGCCTGTGAACCAGAGTATCACGGTTCAATTCCCAGTCAGGGCACATGCCTGGGTTGCAGGCTGGTTCCCTGCAGGCCAGTTCCCAGTAGGGGATACATGAAAGGCAACCATACATTGATATTTCTCTCCCTCTCTCCTTCCCTTCCCCTCTAAAGATAAATAAATAAAATATTTTTAAAAAAAGACAAACAGAATGGAAACAAAAATTATCCCTGTCTCTGACTTCTATTTGGAAATGTCTGGATCAGATTAAAAGGAACATAGCAAGAATACAGCCTGCTGTGCAGACCAGTGGCATATTAGTTTACAGGGACAAAATAGTTATTTCCCTTTAGGTGAAAGTTTGGATTGATTCTTTACAACCCATCCAACAAGAGAATGGAAAGTGAAGGTATCTGTTTAGAAGAAACATGAATTATCTTGACTTTGTGACTAGATTTCATATGTACAGCTGAAATCTACACTGGTAGACCATCTATTCTCTTTAAAAAGATTTTTTGAGTAACTGATAAAAATACTGATTTGCATTCTTTAAGTACTGGGTGTTCAGTCTTCATTAGCACTGACTATGTAAAACTAGACTTGTCGCAGTGACCATGGTAACTGGCAAAATTTTTTCTGGGTCATTGGCTCTGCAGCTGAGTATTACTTGGCATAGCTATTTACAGAGGTCATAAATGAAAATCCTGATACTGTTCCAAGCAGTGACAATATCCATTATCTGAATATAAGTAAAGTTTCTGGTCAAATGTGTTTAACCATGGCCTTAGCCCCACAGAGTTAACGTGTATTGCCTTTCATAAGCACTTCTATGTTCTTACGAATGGACTTTATTTTGACAAGCAACTATTGAACAGGGTTTGCTATATCTCCTAGGATGAAAAAAAGGAATAGAAATTTGTAGTACAGTATGTACTTTTGAAAACAAATGGCAGAGGGTGGTGGCAGGGTTAGGTCGAGAGTTGTTCTCTTTGAGGGACCTTCTCCCTCTGAAACAAGGTGGGATGCCACTATTTGGGAGTTTCATCTGGCCTTCAGAAAAGGTAAACGAGATGCTGCTCCCCCTGCGCCCCCCTGTAGTCAGTCTGGCTCTTCAAGTTGCACTGCAATGACTCCTTCCAAAGTTCTGAGTGAGGACAAGTAAACTGCTGTCTGGCACCGAAAGGAAACGCCCTTCTGTATAAATAAGGATTTTGTGTGTATGTTTTGGAATGGTTGTTTAGTCATAAGATTTAGTAGAAGATACAGCCTTTCAGGTCCTTTCTTGTTTTGAACGAAGGAGATAGTTCAGATTTGTACCATAAGTTGACTTTCAGTACCTTGACTTAATTTGTTCTGGGGGGAGCTGAAGATGACCTCTCGTTCTCACGATGCCTCTCCAGACTGGAGAGTTTCCCCTCCGGCGGTTTTGATGGAAAATGGTTTCTCCTCCTCTCATTAATGTTGTATTTGCACAGTCTGATGCCTGGCTGACGATAAGAGGATTGCACCTGAAATTGGATGCAGACCTTGTGGAGCATGGATGGAGTAGAGGTGGTGTCACCTCTCTGAGGAAACAGCCTCAGGGTTTTTTGAGGGGCTTTAAGACAAAAGATGATGATCCTTTCCCCAGGCTGCCTTCTGTTATGTAAGAGACCCTGGATGTGAACGAAGTTTCTGAGTAACTAGACAAGTGGGAAAGTCCCTGATGATCTGTGGGGTGGACTCCCAGACATCTCTAGAAGCCCCTCCACAGAGCTGGCCTTCATTACGGGGGTGGGGGGGGTAGGAATGAATGTTCCTCCGTGCTTGGGTGAAACCGCAGGGGTCTCAGAACTTGTACATCCTCGTGGCTGCAGAACTCATCCGTCCTCATAGCTGGGATGAAACTAGAGCTCTGAGACACAGCCAGGGCCTAGAAGACTCGACTGGGCCCTGCTCCACTCAGGCCAGGCTGGTTTCACCTCAGACCATGTCTGGGCGTGCAGCATCTGTACCAAAAATTATGGTGACATAGGCCAAAATTAAAATACCGCATAGGGTATTGATAAAGAACAGATGGGTGGCGCTGTAGTTTGTATTTCCTCTGCTTAGTATGGACCTCATGAGTCCATATTTTTTTTAAAGTGCTATTCAAATTATGGGGGTAACATTTTTATATTGAGACTTTAGAGAAATGTCCGTTATAATAAGGGTGTGAGTTGATGTGTCTCTTTGAAGAGGAAAAGAACAACATTTAAAGGCAGGGCTAGACGGTGTCCTAGGTATTTTCATGTATGTTACTTCATTTAATCCACATGCCAACTCTGTGTAGTAGGTATATCGTCTCCACTTAATAGAGGAGGTTTATATAGACTGAAGTTTAGAGACACTTAAATAAGTTGCCTGAGGTTACACAGTGAGCCAGGTTCTGAACCCAGGTCTCGGTGCTACCAAGGTCCACAGCAGCACCGTATTACGGTAGGGGCAGCACAGGATAGGATAGTGTTGAAGAATGTGGACCTGAGAGCCAGCTGCCAGTACTCTGATTCTTACAGGTGTTAGCTGGATGACCTTACCCTTTCTGCAGCTCAGTTTCCTCATCTGTAAAGTGGAAGTAATAATAATGCCCACATCGTCAAGTTGTGAGATAAAATTAGATAATGTATTTTTAAAAACAGCTGTGGTACTCTCTAAGTAGTCAATAAACACTAGTTGCTGTTATGAAGATATTTCGAATAGCTTCTCTGGGTCCAGCTCAGTTGATCGTAGAGGGTTGGGTTGGGTTGGCTGACCGGGAGTGTAAATAACTCAGCACTGTCCACCGCCACCATGTAGAGAAAACAATGTATATCTTGTTTTAATTGAATGTTTAAGGCATCATTTTTTAAAAGATTTTATTTATTTTTAGGGAAAAGGGAAGAGAGGGAGAGAAACTTCAATGTGTGCTTGCCTCTTGTACATCCCCAACTGTAGGCCTGGCTGGCAACCCAGGCATGTGCCCTGTCTGGGAATTGAACCAGCGACCCTTTGGCTTGCAAGCTGGCACTCAATCCACTGACCCATTCCAGCTGGGGCTAAAGCATCATTTTTGTATAAAATATGCCAGATCCCTCTTGTACTGTCTAACGTACTTTTTCTAAGCTCATCTTGATTTTCATAATGGACACATCAATACATGACTCAACATTGTATGTGGTTTGGGCTTCTCTGGGACATGAAGGAAAAGGAAGTAGCTGATGGGACCAGGCCCACAGGGATTTTTTTAAAATTGCCCTCCAGGTTTAGCCTTGAGTTCTGAATAAGAGGTGCCCTTGTCCTGCTGGAACTCAGGTGCCTGAAGGTCAGACTCTGGGTTAATTATTAATGACGGGACCTTTCAGTGGGGATTTCTAGGTCAGAGGGCTCTTCACACACAGCATTTCCATTCGTTGGGGTGGTAGCCCACAAGCTTTCAGGTGTACAAGAACCTAATGATGTGCTTGTTAATACTGCAGAATCCCAGGCTCTGACTGTACAGAATCTGATTCCAGTAGGTCTCAGTGTGGGCCTAGGACTATGCATTGTCACAATCACTTGAGAAAACATTGTATTATTTTGATCTAGAAAAGCAGCAAGGGGGTGTAAAAAAGACCTAGGGGATTTAAAAAAGGAAATAGGGATTACATTTTTTAAATATATCAAATGATTCTGTTCATTTCTATTTATAGTTAATGATATTTTGGATGTCTTAAATCCTTTTTGATAGTATATCCTTGAATACAGACATTTTTTTTTACCACTCATCTGAAGCCATACCTCGTCAGTCTTCAAATACTACTGAGTGAGTGGTGATTGTTTCCTCCTGTGATGTACCTGTCATCATCATCCCTTCTGTGTCCTTTACCCTGCTACCCCTCTAGCTCAGGTCTTAGGATCCCATATCTGGGAGTATCAGTTAGCTTTTAATGGGTAATACATCACCCCAAAACACAGTGGCTTAAAACAGCCACCATTTCTTTAGTCTGTGAGTCTGTGGGCTGGTGATTTGGGGCTGGGCCCAGAAGGGCAGCTCCTCTGGTCTTGCCTGAGATCACCAGGGCATCTGCAGTGAGTGGGGCAGCTGCTGAGCTGGGGCAGCTGTGCCATGTGGCACAGCTCTCATCCTCCAGCAGACTGGCCTGGGTGCGTGCACACGGGCACAGCACGGCTCCACGTGCAGCAGGAGGGCAGCCCAATGTACGAGTGCTATTCTAACCTCTGCTACATCACCTTTGCTGATGCTCCATTAGTTATATATTATATAACCCAGCCAGATACAGTGGGTGGAGGAGTTAATAAACTGCCTCCTAAAGGGAGGATCTGCCACGACACAGTGCAAAGGCATGAATGGGAGGAGAACAGTTTATGCTCATCTTCACAACCGGCTGAATTATCACATCTCCTGCCTTGCAAGCTTCTCTGGCTGTAGGTTTTTGTTGCTCCAACCCGTTCTGCTTCCTGCTGCCAATTTCATTTTCCTTAAACTTTGCTGTCATCATATTATATCCCTGTTCAACCTCCTTCACCCCCTGAAGCTTTCTCTTTACTCACCTCATCAGCTATAAACTCTTCCGCTTAGCTGTCAAAGATCTCTTATGCTTGCCTGACCTAAAGTAGAGGGCATAGTACCTGGGAAAAAGACCTAGCGGGGCCAGGTGAGGCTGGGGCACCAGGTCCAGCTTGGCCACTGACTAGCTTTTCACTTTCCAGGCTCTTCTTTGTCTATAATAAGAGGGAGTTTGGATTGAATCTGAGAGGTTCTTTTCAAGTTTAATATTTAGGCTGAGTGTACCTAGACAAATTTATTTCCTAGTACTCCGTAAATATACCTTCCTCTCCAGGAAGACCCGGCTTCTTATTTTCCTGCTGCACATCTTGTATTTACGCTGCTTTGTGCCTTCGTCCCCATGTCTTCTCAGTCTGGGATTGCCTCGCTTCTGCACAGCTGGTTCTAAGCCCATCCAGCTTGGCACTTGACTGTTAGTCGTGCCAACTAGATTATAAACTACTCACTGAGGAAAGAGACCACATTTTACACTTTGACTAAGTATATAGTAAGTGTCAAGCAAATGTTTGTAGGTTAATCCTAAATTTCCATCTCAGGTCATAGAAAACTGGAACTGGCTGGAATGTTAAAGACAGTAGGAGGATAAGACTGCTTGGGCAGAGGTGGTGGTGGTGATGGTTGGAGAGGTGGGTACTTTTGTTAAATGCACTCAAGGTAGCATGCACTTAATTGAGCTGGGCGCCTTTAGAACGTATCTACAGAGCTGCTGTGCAGGCCTTTCCTCCAGCCATCCCGTGACACTGGTTCTCCTCTGCTTGTGTCCTGCAGTTTTCATCCTTCTGTAAGCTGTCACCATGACCCTGACAAAAGGTTCCTTCACCTACTCCAGTGGGGAGGAATATCGTGGCGAGTGGAAGGAGGGTGAGAGGACCCCGGGGGTGTCCAGTGATGAACACTTCATTTGGCTGAAGGACAAATACCTCAGGACAGATAAACCGACTTGATTCATCTTCAGGTCTAACTCCAAGATTTAATCTGATAGTGCCTTTCCTTTATTTAAATATAGGATTATAAGTAAAGGAATTAAAAAATACTATTGTTAATCCAACCTCCAGAAGTAAGTTAAATCTTTCTACTTTTTTAAAAGATTTATTTATTTATTTTTTGAGAGGGGAAGGGAGGGCAAAAGAGAGAAAGAGAAACATCAATGTGTGGTTGCCTCTCATGTGCCCTTTATTGGGAACTTGACTTGGCCCACAACCCAGGCATGTGCCCTGACGGGGAATCAAACCAGTGACCCTTTGGTTCACAGGCCGTCACTCAATCCACTGAGCCACACCAGCCAGGGCAAATCTTTCTGCTTCTGAAATGTGTTTTAACCCTTTTATCCTTGAATTGATAGTATTTGGGAATTGTTTTTCTAAATGTTAATGTATCCTCAGAGTAAAATGAGTTTAGTGTTCACAAATCAGGAAATACAGAATTTATTGCAATGACTTGATTCCAATGAGCCTTAAGAACTTAAGGAAATTAGGCCAGACACTCAAAAAAGCAAGTGACACCCATTGCCTTGAATTTCCTGTGGCAGTTCATTACATTAAGAAGTATCTGTTCTTCGGAACAGTAACATGTTTTCAGAGCCTGAGACTGTACAGGAATTAGCTTAATGATGTTCAATTTGGAAACAGTCCCGTGGGTCCAGTCCTAGTGAGCCAGGAACTGCCCCAAAGAGACTCGACTCTACAGTTGTGCCAGCCAACACCCTCACACTGTTTCCAGGCATGTGCTGCTGAAGAATTCCCGAGCCTTGAGAGGAGAAACTGCAGGTGGGAGGGGACCTTGCCTCTCTACATCTCCAGGCTTTTCTTCTGCCTCCCAAACCCCTGCTGTCCCCTTTGATATGACCTTTAGAGGTCCCCTGAGGCTCTGCTGGGGAAGCTCTGTCCACCAAAGAACGGCCTCTGCTCTGTTGGAAGAGTATTACTGCCCCTCCCGCATCTCGCTCTGTTTTCTGGTCAGTTCACTGGGTTAGCTTAGCTCTACTCATGTAAAGGAGCTCAAGCCGGTGTCCCAGTGAGGCTGGTAGGTTTGCACAGGAGCTCCATGGTGCTAAGACATGTGCTTTTATTCTTCTCAGAGTGTCAGTGTATTTAAGTGCGGAGGGCTGTAAGGTAAGGCTGCCTGCTGCGTTTGCCTTCCTGCTCTACCACTTAATTGCTCTGAGATCTTGAGTAGGTTATTTAGCTTCATTTTGCCTTCGTTTCCACATCTATTAAATGGGAATAATAGTAGTACTGTGCCTTCCTCATAAGGCTGCTGTGAGGATTAAATACGATAAATATAAAGTGCTTACAAGAGTGCCTGGCATATAATAAAAGCACTTCGTGCTATTTTAAAGTACTGTCTTACCCTTCATACTTGAGACCTGCTCCAAATCTGACTGTTGTGCCTTAAGGTGGGAAGGTCGCAGGAGCCAGGCTGTTACTCTGGGTATTAGTTCTCCACCCTGACAATGTCACTACCCTCTTCTTTCTCTTGTGGGGGGTAATGGAAGGCAAGGGATGTCAGACAGTGATCAAGAACCCTGAAGCTGCCCCATTCCAATTGAAACCTGTCCTTCTCTTTGCTCAGGCCGCAGACATGGTTTTGGTCAACTGATATTTGCAGATGGCGGCACCTACCTGGGTCATTTTGAGAATGGGCTCTTCAATGGCTTTGGGGTACTGACCTTCTCAGATGGCTCAAGGTGGGTACTGGAGCATTCTTTTCTCAGCCTTAACCCAGGGAGATTCTGATTTAAAAATGATCATGATAAATATCTGCCCAAACCAGAGCTTGTCCCATGCCCTCTGAAAATAGGCAAGGGTTAAGCATTAGTTTTTTATTGGTTATTTTATAAACAGATCTAAAATTTGAAGTGGCAAGAGATGAGTGACCTTCTGCTCCACCGCTGCTCTGTTATCTCCTTAAGGTTAGGGCCTCACAACATACACGCTGTCTGACCTCTGCTAGTCAGAGTGGGGTGGGTGGGGCTCTGAGATACGGTAAGTGACATCAGCTTTGCTCCTTGGCATTAGAAAATAACACGAATTGGTAGCTGCTGGACTCAGTTCCAGCAGCTCACTACCCCCCTAAGGGCTAACGTCTTATGTTTCTGCAGGTATGAGGGGGAGTTTGCCCAGGGCAAGTTCAATGGCGTTGGAGTGTTCGTTCGACATGACAACATGACCTTTGAGGGCGAATTTAAAAATGGCAGAGTAGATGGTTTTGGTAAGTTGCAGCCCAGCAGGACGGGAGACTTAGGCGAGCGTAGTGTGGGTAGAAGTATACCTTGTTGGCTTTAATCCTTCTGTGGATGTCCGGCTATCCAGAGTGACGGTGCCCTGTGCCTGCCTTGGCCCTGAACTTACAGAGTACTCCTGACAAGGGCTGCGAGGTTTTCTCTTCCTCAGCCTCTAACTGTCAACCTGATCTTTCTGAGTCACTAATGCCACCGTCACTCCCATATTTCCTCTCTACCCCTCAAAGGCCTGCTGACTTTCCCCGATGGGTCCCATGGAATACCCCGAAATGAAGGTCTGTTTGAGAACAACAAGCTGCTGCGGCGTGAGAAGTGCTCTGGGGTCGTTCAGCGGGCCCAGACCGCCTCCAAGTCAGCCAGGAATCTCACCGCCTGACAAGGGTTGGGTAAAGCAGTGCCGTTATTCACTCGAGGTGAACAATGAACCGGATGTGAGAGGAGATGGGATGATCTTGGAGCAGAAGCCTCGTGCTGTGCCCCCTCACCCGCCAGTCAGGGAGGGATGCGACCACAGAGAAGTTCTGAGGACTCAGGCCCAGGCCCTGCGGTGGTGGTGCCAGGTCTGTCTCTCCTTTGTCTCACTTGTTGGCATTCTGTGTCCCGTGATAACATCCTGGGTCACCCAGTGCAGACCTGCCGCTGCCTTCGACTTCCTTCTCTGCCAAGTGATACAGGATCTCTCCACCCTGCTGATGTTCGGGGCAGATGATCCTAGCCCCAAACCAGGGCCAGGGCTTTGGGCTACCCTGGAGAAATAAACAGACAGAGACTGCCTAGATAGTGCAGCCATCCTGTGGAAGTCCAGACCGGGGCTTTTCTGTGTGGGACTCCCTCGCTTGCTGCTGAAGGGCGGCATGGCTCCAGGCTGCACTTTGACCAGATGGGTGTTCGTGTCTGCCTGTTCCTGCTGTGAAAGATTAGGTGCAAGTGCCATTTCCCTTCCCCGACTTTCCAGGCTGTCTTCCTTACCTGATTTTAGCAGATGCTCCCCACTGTGCCTCTCATTACTTGTGGGACAGGATCTCTTTATGGGATAGTCAAGGAAGAAACCGATGCAAACAGTTATCTTTAAAATTGTATTTATTACTTATTCCAAGGCAAAAGGCAGGCCTCTCAGGGCCACTTCAGGCCCCATCGTGGGGTGAACTGAATCCTTAGGGCTGACTCAGCTTTGTCCCAGTGGACTGGTAGTGTAGGTAGATCTGGACCTGCCCTAAAAGTGTGTGAACTGAACAGGTCTGGCTCCTTGCGTTTGGGTCACTGTAACTCTTCCACCGTGAGCCTTGGCCATCGGACCTGGGGGCAGATCTTGATGGATAGGATCCTGCACAGGTCATCACAGAGGCCACCAGTTACCCTGTGATCCAGTCCCGCCCCCAACCGCTTACCCTCACACTGAATGTCTCCTCAACAGCAGATTGTGGTGGAAATTATAGCCGTGTGCCTCTGTTTATTCTCTGAATTGTACTGTAGAAACAAGTGTTTATGAGGAATAAACAAATCACCAGAACTGCCCACACTTAGTTTTCCTTACTTTCTTGCTCTGGGTCTTTGTGGTTGTGAACCCATTTGCTGTTTCAAAAAATTAATAATAGAGGGGGCTTGGAGCTGACACTGTGTGTTTTACTACATTATATCACCTGAGTCTCAGACCTCTGCACGGTAGGAAGCATTTTAAAAAATCAAGTTTAACCAATCAATGTCACCCCAGTATATTCAATTAAAAAAGAATCAGGCTCAGGCCACCCAGCCTGGTGGCAGAGCCGGGCGGGATTTGTTTCTGGATCTTCCTGATTCCGAAGCACTTTCCCCTCTACCCCCCTGACCCTGTGCACGAGAGCACCCATGTCCCCGTCACACCTGCCAAGTCACCTTAGCAAGTCACTCCCACCTGGGTTTCCCTTTCTCTGCACGCTCCCTGGGCCACACTAACCCTGTCACATGCCTGGTCTTCTGTAGTCCTGGGAGGATGGTGCTGTCACTGTCCCTGTGCACAGACGAGGCTCATGGCCGTTAAGGAGTTTCCCCAGTAGCGTCCTGTAGAGACTAAGGGGCAGACCCAAGAACTTCATTGCTGCCTGTGTGAGCCCAGGGGCCAAGCACTTGGCCAGTGCACTAGCCTGCCTCTCTTGCCCTAGCTTTTTGGCGCGTCCTCGAACTTGATTCTCCTCTGAGCTCAGATCCTGTAGAAGTTGCCTGTAAGACAAGTCTAGGTACTAGACGAGTCTTTAAGCTTCAGTGCTGGCCAGAGATGCCCAGTTTCAGTTGAAGATCGATACTTTTTATATTCTCTCCTAGCCTTTTTCCCAAGCAAGAAATCCGTTTACCTTTCTTTTGACCAAGAAATCTCTTTTTAAGAGATTCTTAAAAAATTCATCGCAGGTTTTCTGCTACAGGTCAGATATCACTGAGTAAGCTTAAACATTTTGGAGAAAGCGGCTGTGTTTCTAAATTACCAGTAGAACATTTTTACCTCTCCCATTTAAACTTAAATAAGGCTTACCCTAGGCTGTCACCAGTTTAATGCCCATGTTTGCTCAGTGTTGTGCGGGCCTCTCTCAGGCTGACCCGGAGTGCTAAATGGCTTGTAGGTGCTTTCTTGACATCTGGGCAGGAAACCTAAGAACTGCATAACAGTGAAGTATTGATCTCTACACAGCCACACTAGTTAAGCTTATGAAAACTTTATTGCAATAACAAAGTAATTATTTTTAACAATAAAGGCACAGTACCCATAGGCAAGAGGATGGTCCTGTCTCAGGCCAACCCCCTTCTTTAACGTTTCAGACCTGGATTGATGGCAACAGCCTTCCAGAATGTAACATTTATCCACTAGGTGTCATTATTTACCAATTCTGGCTTGTCTGTGCCCTTGCCGGTTGAGATCAAAGCCAGAGATAAGAATGTGAAATGAATCAACATGGATTTAGAAAAGGGCACTGTGGCTGGAATGTGTCTTGGGGGTACCTTTCAAAGACAAGTGACATTTATCTGATCACTTCCCCTGGAAAGAGTCAGAACTGGGTTCTCCGAGTGGCCCTGGCTCCCCCTGCATTGTGCTAGAGTCAGGTTTGCACCCCCAAGTCTAGGTAGCCCTCCCTTCAAACACGCAGCCCTCCTGTGCCCAGCTGCCCCTGCCCTTCCCCTCTGGCTCTTGGCTCGTGTGTCTTGGGCCGTGGGAATCCACAGTGGAAAGACAAGTAAACAATTGCTTTTGCCCAGACTGAGGTCTCTGGAGACCCAGAGTTTAGGGCACAGTTTTAAGAAGCCAGGGGGCCATGGGCATAGGGAATGAGCGTGCATGGCCCCTGGTCCGAGGCACGTGGAGGACTTCAGCAGGAAAGGACTCCAACCCCCGCGTCCCCCCGTTCCCTTTTGGGCTGCAGATGCAAGTCAGGGGCTGAGGATGAGCTCCTGCCTTTCCCATCCCTGCCCTCAGAGCCAGCCATTGTTGGTGAAATCCTTGCGCAGTACCTCCTCTTCATCAGGGCTCAGCTCCTGCAAGGGGGCCCGGCAGGGGCCTCCATAGTAGCCAAACCAGTCCATGGTTTTCTTCAGCCCCGGGATCCCAAAGCGCCGGGTCACCTGAGAAGCAGGGCCTGTTAGAAGAGTCCGGGGAACCCCTGCACAGATGTACCCAGGACTGAGACATGGGTCACTCTCAGAAAGTTGGGGTTCTTGTCCTTCTCCGTCATTGAAATAACTCCACCAAGTCTACGACACCCAGGGTAGATTGGGAATCCAGATTAGAGACCAGAAGGCAGGCCAGCTATAGAGAACACAATGCTGAAACCTCAAATTGAGGAAGAGGCCTCCTTTGGTTTGAGGAGAAAAATCCATCCCACATGGAGGAGAGAAAGCAACGCTACAGGCTGGGTGCTAGAATGTGACCAGTCTGCAGCCCAGTTCCCCGGAACCTGACTCAGCACAGCAGGCCTGGGAAGTCAGGCACAGCCAGACCGCCACTCCCTGTGCAGGGTCCTCCCTGGCCCAACTCTAACTGCTCTCATGGGGAAAATAATGCATCTCTGTCCACAGACGTTTCATTGTACAATCTTTTATCATTAACTTGTGAGCTCTGAGCAAGTTCTCTTGCCTAAAAAAAGGAGAGGGCTGGACATGATCTCTAGTCTTTTCCATTGTCATGACAGACCTAAGGCTACTGTTTACTTAAAATCATGCTGAGTTTTACAGAAAATGATGCATCAAGTATCTGCTTTTAGCATAGCAACTGGTTATTTCATGCTGATCAGAAGCAACAGATGAATCTTTTGAGTCCCTAAAAACTAGGAAAGTATCATTACTTAATAAAAGCTTTATTTGGAGGAAAGGGAAAGCCTTAGAAGTATGGGCTTCTGGAGGATAAACAAACAGACAAACATAAAGGTGGTTTGGGGTAAAAATGTTGGCAGCCTAATGAAAGAGTGGCTAATAACTATTCAGCACTGGAGGCCAGTAGGCCTTAGCAAGCCCCTTGTCTTCCCAGGCCTGGCCCCACCCAGCCATGATGTTCTCATAACCCAGGCACTTCACCTAAAACCCGAGTGGGGCGGAAAAGACGTAGGGGACAGCGTGGACACAAGAAAGGCCTAGAGAAAAGCTTCCTCCCACCACAGCAGCCTGAAGATCTCTGATTTGCCCCTGTTTAGACACTGGGAAAGGGTTGGATGCTTTGGTGGTAAAGACTATGCAAAGTCCTAAATATAGCCAGGGCAGGAGCCTGGCTGGGTGGGGAGGCGAGGCAGGACATTGTGTTCGATCAGGGCTGGGAAATAAGGTGACATCAAGCCCCTCTTGGGGTGGCTGAGCCTACAGCCCAGGCAGCAGGAAGGCGTCCCAGGGATTCCTGAGTGTGTGCCCAGAGCTGACAGAGGAGGGGCAGAGCACAGGGTGAGGCAGGATGGCATGCAGAGCATCGGATGGCAGCAAGCACCCTCTCTTCCCAAGAGGCAGCCCAAGCTGCTTCATCTATAAAATGACGTGATGGCAACACCTGTCCCCTGTCACAAGAATTGAACAAGAAAAATGCCACTCTTAGACCAGACCCCAAACATCGTGGAAGCTTCTCTTCCTGTCAAAGTGGTAAACAGGTTCTGGGACCTTCTCTCTTGCAGGTGGATGGGGGTGGGAGAGCAGAGGTCCCACCTCTGTGGACTGGCCAGTAGGTGCCCCATGGGACTCAGCTGAAAGGTCCTCATTTCTGCAGTTCTTGCTTCCTATTTGCAGAGCATCCTATCCCAGAAGAACCTTCACATCCAGGGCGACTCATGCTTGCCTCCTCAGCTGTCCTGTCTCTAAATCTGAGTTAGTCTGCCCCTTTGAGGTAAAGATACAAAGTGTGAGGAGATCTGGAGCCTTCTCATCAGTTTACCCAAACGAAAAACATGGCCTCGCTCAGTCTGGGACTCTCATCTCAGATGCAAAACCTAAGGGGTAGGGATGCCAGAAAACGCAGTCATCAAGGTAAATAGTTAATGCAGTTTTTAAAAAATCAAAATCAATGAAAAAGTATCCATAGTGAACAAAGTACCAAAGTTTTGAATGAAGACAGGATCCAACAGAAACATGCCCTGCCATACTGTAGCCTGAGGCAAAATAAGGCAGTAAGCTTCCTGTATACCTTTAATTTTTTAAAAAGATTTCATTTACTTAAAAGATTTCATTTATTTATTTGTTTGTTCTTAGAGAGAGGGGAAGGGAGGGAGAAAGAGAGGGAGAGAAACATCAACATGAGAGAGAAGCATGGATTGGTTGCCTCTTGCACACCCTCAGCTTGGGAGCTGCTTTGCAACCTGCTTTGCAAATGTGCCCTGATCAGGAATGGAACCAGTGACCTTTCAGTTTGCAAGCCATTGCTCACTCCACTGAGTCACTCCAGCCAGGGCTTGTGCATTTTTTAAAATTGATTTTATAGGGACAGAGGAAGGGGGGAGAGTGAGAGAGAAACATCTATTTGTTGTTCCACTTATTTACACATTCATTGGTTGCTTCTTTTTTTGTGTGTCCTGCCTGGAGATCAAATCCACAACCTGTGTATTTTTTCATAGTTAATTTGTTTTCTAGAAGTAGATTTGGGGAAAAATTGTTTTCATAACTTTGTTTCCATTCAAGCCGGGGAAGTAAAATTATAACAAATTATGTTTGGGGTGTAGATAAAATATTTAAAACTAAAAGAATGCTTTGTGTGAGCTTTAATATACCTACTTTAAAATTTTTCAATATTTTTAATGGTCTGGAGGTTGAAAAAAATCATCATTTAAGAAACTAGCTAGAGCTTCTACTTCCAAGAAGATGAAATAGATGTACTTTTCCCCGTTCTTCCTAATACATACAACTAAAAATCCTTGCACATTATATAAAAACAAGCATCACAAGGACTGGAGGGTAGAGAGAAGGAAGACCGAGTGGGGACCTCAGGAGCAAGGAACAGCACTGTGCGGGGGCAGCTGGCCCAGCCATGGAGCTTCAGGAGCCAGCGGCCCTGAAATGCCACTGAATGCAGACAATAAAAGCCCCAACAAAAGGCCATTCTCTCCAGCCAAGGAATGGAGCAGCCTAGCAAGATGGAAAACTTTTAGATAACAACCACTCTACTCCAGCCACACTCCACCCCTCAAAAACTCTGTGTCCCCGCCATCACCCAGGCCTGGCTCTGAACAGGGAGCCAGATCTTCTGTCTCACAACTTAGCAGAAGAGAGTGCTCCTCCCTGTCTGTGAAGGAGGCCTAGTGAGGAGTTCTGGCTTTGTCCGCAGTCCGCCCTTAGGGAGGCCAGACCCTGCGGACCCACGCAAGGTGTCCTCAGAGGCCACGCGGGAGCATTGAGGACGCACTCCCACCCTCCCCAGCCCAGCTTGCATCAGTGGAGGCCGAGCGCAGAGCTGAAAAAATGTTAAAACTCCCCCCAAAACAATCTCCTGGCCTAGATGGTTTCACTGGAGAATTACCAAAACTGTAAAAAAGATTTGATATCAATTCTACAGAGCCTCTTCCAGAAAACAGAAGAGGAGGGAATACTTTCCAGTTGATTTATGAAGCTACTTTTATCCTGATACCAAAATCAGACAAAGGTAGCGCTAGAGAGAAAGAGGGAAGAAAACTACATACCAGTATCCCTCATGAATAGAGACAGAAAAATCCTCAGTAAAATATTAGCAAATGGAATTCAGCAACATATGAAAAAGGTTACACACCATGACTAAGTCGGGTCTATTCCAGGGGTGCGATTCTGGCTCAATATTTGGAAATTATTAGTGTCATCTACCATATTAACAGGCTAAAAGGGGGAAGAAATCACATGATCATATCAGTCAATGCAGAAAAACATTTGACCAAATTCAATCCCCATTAACAACTTTAAAAAAACTCTGGAAACTAGAATGGCGAGGGAACTTCCTCAACTTGATAATGAGCAGCTACAGAAAACGGTAGCTAACACTGGGCTTAATGGAGAAAGGCTGGGTGTTTTCCCTTAAGATCGGGAACAAGGTGAGGGTGTCCACTGTCACCACGCTCGCTCAACATTGTGCAGGAAGTCCTCGCCGGGGCAATAAGGCGAGAAAGGAACTAGAAGATACACCACCCCTATTTATAGAGGATATGATTGTCTGTAGAAAACCCCAAGGAATCTACCAAAAAACTCCTAGGACTAGTAGGTGAGTTCAGCAAAGTCCTAAGATACAAGATAAACATGCAAAAATCAATGGTGTTTCTATACACTAACCATGAGCTCATGAACAGTGGAATTAAAAATACAGTACCATTTATAATCATTAAAAAAAATATGAGCCACTTAGGTGCAAATCTCTCAAAGCTTGTACAGGATTTGTTGGCCAAAAACTACAAAATGCTGATGAAATAAATCAAAGGAAGTCTACACAGATGGAGAGATATGTCACATTGAAGAATTCAAAGACAACATAAGTAACATATCAATTGCCTCAAAATTGGTACAGGTTTAACCCAATTCCTACTAGAATCCCAGTAAGAATATTTGTAGATGTGGACCAGATGATTCTAAAATTTATAAGGAAAGACAAAGGAATTCGACTGCCTAAAACAATATCAAAAAAACAAAGTCGGAAGAATCAGTCTGCCTGATTTTAAGATTTATGATATACTACAGTAATCAAACTGCAGGGTATCACGAAGGGTAGATCAGTGGAAAGAGTATCAAACCCGTGAATAGACTCACACAAATGCACCCAACTGATTCTGACAGAAGCACAAAAGTAACTCCACAGAGGAAAGATCACCTTTTCAACTACTGCTGCTGGAGCAAGTGTATATCTATAGGCAAAAAAAAAAAAAAAGCCCTGGCTGGTGTAGTTCAGTGGATTGAGCGCAGGCCTGTGAACCAGAGGATCGCAGTTCGATTCCCAGTCAGGGCACATGCCTGGGTTGCAGGCCAGTTCCCAGCAGGGGACACTCGAGAGGCAACCATACATTGATATTTCTCTCCCTTTCTCCTTCCCTTCCCCTCTAAAGATAAATTTTTATTAAATCTTTTAAAAAATAAATAAAATTAGATAAAATAAAATAGAACCTAGATCTAAGTCTCCCACTTTGCACAAAAATTAACTCAAAATACTGGTAGTTCAAAAATTTGTAAAACATAAAATTATAAAGCTTTTAGGAAAAAATTTGGAGAAAATATTCACAATTTGCTGGTAGGCAAACAGTTCTTAGACTTAACATCAAAAGCATAAACAAAAAATATTGATAAACTGGACATCGAAATCGAAAACTTTTGCTGTTCGAAAGACATTTAAGAGAATGACAAGCTACTGATTGGGAGAAAATATTTGCAAACCGCATATTTAACAAAGGCCTAGTATTTAAAAGATATAATGAACTTTCAAAACTCAGCAGAAAAAAATAATCCAATTAGAAAATGGGCAAGTGACATAAAATGACATTTCATCTAAGAGCATATACGGATGGCAAATATATACATGAAAACAAGTTCAATAGCATTAGCCATAAGATACATGCAAATGAAAACCACAAGGACCACATACCTATCAGAAGGATTAAAATAAAATATAGTCACATGATTAAATGCTGGTAAGGATGCAGAAAAATTAGATCACTGATACATTTACACCAATGAAAATGTAAAAATTTTCCAGCCACTCTGGAAAACAGTTTGGCAGTTTCTTATAAAACGCTAAACATGCAACCATCATGTGACCCAGCAATTGTATGCCTTTCCCCCAAAATGAAAAACATATAAGTACATGTTCCTAGCAGCTTTGAATAGCTAAATCTGGAAACACCTGGCTATCCTTCAACAGGGGAATGGCTACAAAGTGGTGGTGTGGCCATACCATGAAATAACTACTCATCAATAAAAAGGAACCACCTGGGTAGGAGGTGGGGTCGGTGGGGGTGGGGGGAGCCGTGGGGGAAAAATGGAGACAAGTGTATGTAAACAACAACAATGAAAAAAAAGGCTCTACCTATTGACCCATGCACCATGTGGATGAATCTCCAGAAAATTGTACCGAGTGGGAAAAAAAGCCAATCTCAAAAGGTTATGGACTATATTATTTCATTTATATAACAGCCTTGAACTGACAAAATTAAAACTGATAAACATATTTGTGGTTGCCACAGGCTAGAAAGGGGGCAGGAGCAGGAAGTGAGCTCCTGTGGCTGTAAAGAGGGACCTGGAGGGTCTTGGTGCTGATGGAAGTGCTGTCTTGACTATCTCAGTCAGTCGGGGTCCTGGCTGGGATGTAGCTGACACTGGGGAGACTGGGACGTGGGTGCACGTGCTCTGCCTGTACTGTGTTCATCTAAAACATACAGAAAAACATGTCTCTAGGGGCACGCTTTTTTTTTTTTTTTTTTTTGCCTCAGACTCCAGTGCAGCTCCACACAGCATTGCCTGGCACTTGACAGCTTTCTACCTCCGCTCTTCCTGACTTGCCCAGCCCAGACCTGGGGTATATGGTCTGACTACAGAACGGATTATCTGACGACAGAACTCTCCTGGGAAAGCTGGGCTCTGAACACCTCCAGTGTTCCAATCATTCTCGCCATCATTCTGGCTGGATTTGTTTGTTTGTTTTGTTAATTCGTTTTTAAAAACGAATAAGGGGTCTGGCCCCTTATAAAGCTGGCATAAAGGGCATGGCCCCTTTCTCTAGGTCGTGCATCCCTACATAATATCCCAGGATGACTTATGTCACAATCACTTGTCATCCTTGTCTCAGTGCCTATGCCTGCCTGGGCCTAAAGGATCACAGTTTTAACCAGATTCCCTAGATGAATTCTAATGCACACTTAAGTTGGGGCTCAACTTCATCTGAAGTCAGGATTTTCTGGGGAGGCACAAGGAGTTCCCACAGGGACGTTCTCTGAAAAGACTTTCTGAAACAAAAGAGGATGAGTGGGGACGCTTGCGGCCACCCTGGCTCCCAGCCCAGTGAGGAGATCCCCACCCCCAACCCTCTGCTGCCATTGGCAGGAAGCTCACCGCAGTGTTTGGCTCGAGGAGGCGGTGCTGTAGCTCCTGGGCATCTTCCCATTGTCCTGTGAGGCAGAGTCGCTCCAGCTGACACACCTGGGCCCCCAGGACATTGGCCAGGGCACATATGCCCCCCACACCTCCTGCCCCGGAGTGAGATGCAGAACATCAGCCAGAGCCTCTTCTCTCAGAGAGTTACAAACTCTGGCCCCAGGGACCTCTTTGTTCTGGGGAGCTAGGACATGGATTTCTGTGCCACTGGGTGGCCGTGTGAAAGGTCCACTCTGCAAGTCCGCAGGGTACAGAGAGAAATGATGCCATCATGTTTGAAGCAGAACCCCACAGGCTGAGGGTCAGAGAGCAGAGCTTGAAGGCTAACTCAAGGAGAGTTGCTCCCCTGCATTCCCCTCCTCCCAAAAAAGTCAAATCCCACCTGACAGTTGACACCTCCACACTCCACCAGCCCCCTGACTCACCAGTCCTGGAAGGGGGTGAAATGAATGGGAAGCCTTTGTTCTGAAATCTTACCCCCCCCCCCATGTGAATTCAGCCTGGAACAGGAGTGGGGGAATGGAAAGCATTCTGGACACAGGACACCAGGAATTTCCTCCCATTGGCTGCATGAACTTGGACAAGTCACAAACCCTCTGATCCTCTTTGTTCTCACTTGGCAGTGAATATGGGCTGGCTATGATCTCAGAGGGCCCTGCCACTTCTGCCAGCCTGTGAGTGTGATGCTGAGGCTAATTAGGGGTGACCCTAAGCAGAGAGGCTTCAAAACTGGAGAGAGTAGGCAATTAGGAATGGGCTAATATAGCTGCCATTTATCCAATCCCTATTATGTGCCAAGCACGATGGCAGACGGAGGGCCAGTGCTCCCTCCCACCTTCCCTGCTTTAGGAATTCAGGCCTGGAGAGGTTGAGTACCTTGCCCACTGATACACAGTGAATAAACGACAGGGCTGAGATTCCAGTCAGATTCCTCCAGCCTCCAGAACCTGTGCTTTTCCATCTACCCCAGTCTCAGGAATGAGGCATAACTGAATACCCCCTTCTTCCCCTGTAACTTTAGCAAGGTCATATGCAGAGGGGGATGTGCAAGGATCTAGGTGACGAGCCAAGGTCTGCACAGACCAGAGAGGATGGGACCCTGCAGCTTTGGAAAAGTAACCTAAATCTGTGTCAACCGAAGGAGCACATGCTCTTCCCCCTGACCCCCCACAGCTCCCTCTGGCTCCAATCCAACCCGAACCCAAGGACCTTCACCCCAAATGAATATTCCTAGTGTCCTGGACTGGGACAGAGTCTGATCAGGCAACTGAAGATCCCTGGTCCAGCCTCACAGGTCTGAGCATTCGTTCTAGCCTAGAACCAGACAGAGAGAGGAAAATCGACTCTGGGATACAGAAGAGGACTTCAAGGCCTATGGGAGATTAGAAGAACTAAATTTGTCACTAAAGCAGGGAGCTTGGGACTTAGAGCAAATTGCAGGCATCTCTATGACAGGCCAGGGTTTATACATGGCTACCCTCCTCCACCAAAAACAAGGTCACTCACAAGCTCCCAGTGTCCAGACCAGCAGTGCACCGGACTTCTGAGGTCTCAGAGCAGGCAAGCTGACAGAGGCCCTCTGCAGACCCAGCCCTTGACCTCATGGTCTTTTCCAGCTGCCTGCGTGCATCTGGGTCACCCTTCACAGTGTGGGAGCAGCGGGAGGCTTACCCATGGCATAACTGGCTAGCAGGAAGCCAGCAGATCCAGCCAACACCTGGAAATCCTGCTTCCTGGTCTTGTGAATCATCAGCCCGATTCTGGTCACCTGTAACAGCAAACCTGGTGAAGTGGGGCCCAGAGCCCCAGGCCAGCCTGGGTGGGGGCTGGGCCAGTGTGGGCGGATGAGAGCCCAGGCACCTGTGAGGTACTCCCAAGTTCCCAGGAGGCTGCCTGGGAAAGCCCAGACCACCAACTGAGAGAACCCAAACTGAAGCAGGTCCCAGAGCTGCCCTGAAGCTGGTAGCAAAAGAGACGTTGGTGGTCCCTCAGCCAGGAACTACTGCCACTCACATCACCGCCACTGTCCTTGATGCCGATGATATTTGGGTGCTGGGAAAGTGTGACCACCGTGTCCACAGGCAGGTCCAGCCCTGTGTTGGCTGGGACAGTGTATAGCACCACAGGAATTGGAGAGAGGTCAGCGACCTTAGGGACAAAAAGAAGAGGGGAAGGGGCAGCCGCTCAGATCCAACATGTCCAGGCCAGGGAGTCCTGGCCAGTCCCACCTGCTGGACTAGAAGTCAAGTGCTCCGTGCCTTGCCTGTAAGCAGCGATAACGGATAGTAACTAGCGAGTGCCTTCTATGTGCTGAGCACATAGTCCCAAGTTCTTTATGATTTGATAGAATTTAGTCCTAACAACAACCCTATGAAAAAGGTACCTTTATTCCTCCCATTTGAGAAGGGAGGAAACAGCAACAGCATGGTTAGGGCGGTCAGCCAACACCACACAGCTGGTACCTGGGGCGTTTCTCCCCTTCCCAGGCCCACCACTCCATTTCCAGCTTCTTGGCCTCCTCTTCTCAGGCAAAGTCTCCCCCTCACTCAGCCTCCACTTGGTCCCAGACCTCAACACTCTGCCCACCCCTCACACCCACCTTGGTGTAGTGGTGAATAAGGGCAGCGCTGTTCATGCGGCCGCGATAGTAGCAAGGGGTCACCACCATGGCGGCGTCAGCCCCTACCTGGGCCATGCTCACAGTCATCTCCACTGTGGCTTGTGTAGCTGCAGGAGGAAAGAGAGAGTCCTCCTTCCAGGCCATGGAGGGCGAGAACAGGAGGAAGAAAGTCTGGGCTAGGACCCTGGGGCAAGCAAGGGGTGCAAAAGAGGCACCCCCAGGGGGTGCAGCGATCCCCAGCCACCCCCAGGGCCCAGGGCATTATGGCCTCACACTCGCAGCCAGAGCCAGCTAGCAGAAGCTTGTCCTTGGGCATGGCCTGGCGCACACAGCTAACCACCTCCAGGCGCTCACTGCTGCTCAGGAAGGGGAATTCGCCGTTTGAGCCCTGGACCACAAAGCCTGCAGGAGAGATCACATCACATCAAGAGTCACCTTCCCATCCTCTTATGAACAAAAGGAACATTCCTGTTACCTTCACCAGTGTTCCTACCTCCTGAAAACCATAGTTTTTCACACATTTCCTTCCCATCTTTGTCCTGATGCAGCCAGAATGTTTACCCAGCTGCAGTAACAGTGTTCACACCATTTTTTCCTTTGCTTTAATGAGCTGTTTTAGCCAGGCCCCAAGGAAGAGGTAATAACAGAATTCACGTGTTTGTATTCAGCACCCATGGCAACCTTCCCTGGTCCCGTTCTCCTTCCTCCTCTTGCTGCCCTGACTCAGGGGTTATTATTCCCATTCATGTCTTTATACCCTTAAGACACACTTTTGGACCCATAAGGAAGACATAACGGGTTTCGTCACTTTAAACTTTGTAGAAATGAAAGCAAACATATGTATCTCCCGCAGTTTGCCATTTTTGCCCGACATTGGGCTTCAAGCTTTGTCCACAGCAGGACAGGCAACGCTGAGTCGTTCATTTTTCATTGTTATATAATATTCTATTTGAGCTCAGACCACACTTTACTTTTCACTCTTGCCTTGAGAACATTTAGAATGGTTTCTTGTTTTATTTATTTATTTATTTATTTATTTTTAGAGAGAGGGGGAGGGAGGGAGAAAGAGAGGGAGAGAAATATTGATATGTAAGAAATACATTGATTGGTTGCCTCTCACGTGCCCCCAGCTGGGGACCTGGCCCACAGCCCAAGCATGTGCCCTGACTGGGAATGGCACCAGCGACATCTCGGTCCACAGGCTGACACTCAAGCCACTGAGCCATACCAGACAGGGCTTGTTTTATTTAGTTAGTTAAAATACTTCAAAAAATATTTTTAGAGACAGGGAAAGGAAGTTAAAAAAGAGAGGGATAGAAACATCGATGTGAGAGAAATATCAATCAGCTGCTTTCCACATGTGGCCCGAGTGGAGATCGAACCTGCAACGCAGGCATGTGCCCCGAATGGGAATCAAACCTGTGACCCTTTGGTTTGTGGGATGATACCCAACCAACCGAGCTACAGTGGCCAGGGCAGAATGTTTCCTTATTTTTCCTAGCAATGCTGAAACAAACATTTTCTGTGAAGTCTTCGGTGCCCAGGCCTGAGAGTTTCCCTACAGTTTACTGAGGTGCGTAGTTGCCGAGTCGAACATGTGTGTGCACCTGCCCGAGCCACGCGTCTCTCTGATCAGCCGGTTCCATCCCATCAGCACAGAGAGGAGTCTGTCGGTGCCCTGCACGCCAACCCTGGGGACGGTCCGCGCTAATTTTTGCCAATTTTCTGGGTGAAAAGTGACATTTCATTCTTTTATTTTTTTCATTTTCTATCTATCACTGAAATGGTTTCTTTTTTTTTTTTTTAAAGATTTTATTTATTTATCTTTAGAGGGGAAGGGAAGGAGAGAGGGAGAGAAACATCAATGTATGGTTGCCTTTCGTGCATCCCCTGCTAGGAACTGGCCTGCAGGGAACCTGCCTGCAACCCCGGCATGTGCCCTGACTGGGAATCGAACCGCGATTGTCTGGTTCGCAGGCCCGTGCTCAATCCACTGAGCTACACCAGCCAGGGTCTTGAAATGGTTTCTTATATTACCAGTTAAAGGTGTCAGTGCTTTTATATCCATGAGAGACCAGCAGAATTGCCACCGTTCAGCTAAATCTGAAAGGAATGTTAGTAAAACCATTTGCCTCCTTTTAAAAAAAATTTTCTTTCCTCTTCTTTCTCCTCTCTGCCCCAAAATATATTTTCTTCAATAGTTGGCAAATAAAGCATAAAATACAACAAGATTATTAGTAACTAGAAGCGTTAGAGAGGAAAACAATAAATTCGGGAACGATGTTGATTTCAAACCCACTGCCATGCAGTTGTGAGCCACCAGCCATGAATTGGACTTGGAGCTTCCCGACAATCAAAGCTGAAAGGGAAACGTGGTCGGCTGACAGGTACGCAGGACCCAAGACAAAAGCAGGCAGCTGCCCTGGAGCGACACAGAGTTTCCTGGCACTGGGACCAAGAGAGACTATTCCCGTGAGTCATCTCCAGGGGACACAGTGTGATGAAGGGTCCCTGTGACACCACAGAGCTTTTCCGTGCTGCTCACAGGCCATTAGAGTCCACTGAGTAGATTGCCAGGATAGCTCTGGACACTTCACATTTTTTCCCATGGTTTTGTTTTGTCTTGTCTTGCTAAGATTGCAGGGAACATCTTGAGGCAAATAGCATTTGGCTTCTGTTGGATTGCCTCCCTAGAAGCAATTCCTCCGTGTCAGGCCAATTCCTTCGTGTTGGGCTGGCAGCCGATGGTAGGAGCCTCCTCCTGCCTTGTTACATAAGGCCCCAGGGCTTTCCCGGTGGGTCATCCCCACTCGCAGACCCGCCAGGCCTGGAGAGGGCCCCAGGGCAGCCGTGGTCCGCCCAGCACCCTCAGATTCGGAGATCAAAGACAGAGATCAAGCTTTTGCTACTCTCTTTAGCCAAATGGAAGAACATCTTCCCCCCGGAACTGTGCCTGCTGTCCCTCCTTATCCCTCCTCGAAGGGGTCTGAGGTGACTTCTTGCTCCAGCCACTTCTTCGGCCATAGCCACTCACTCCCAAGTACCCCTTCATTCTGAGCGGTCAGCTCCAGAGGCCCCTGGGCCCCCCACCAGTGGGGCCTCAACAGCAGGACAGCTGGGTCTAACACTCTGGGGGGTGAAGGAAGGCCCTGTGCTCAAGACTCCCAGTGGCCTCTTCCTTGTGTCATTTAAGGGAGCATCTGACCCAGGCCTGACCCCTAAGAGGGAAGAAATGCCAGGCTGGGGAGGGAGAGTGGTAAGAGTCAGGGAAGCACTGGACGCAAGTCACCTGGCTACTGAGCCAGTGAAATCACGCCTCTGAGTCTCTATTTCCTTTTTAAAATTTTTAATTTATTTATTTTCAGAGAGAGAGAAAGGGAGGGAGAAAGAGAGGAAGAGAAACACCAAGGTGCAGTTGCCTCTCGCACGCCCACTACTGGGGACTGGGCCTGCAACCCAGGCTTGTGCCCTGACTGGAATCGACCCGGCAACATCCCGGTTCACAGCCTGGATTCATTCCACTGAGCCACACCACCTAAGGCAGCCACTTCCTTTTCTACGGGATGACAATAAAAACCATCTCAATCCTACCTTAGAGGGCTGTCCCTAAACGCACAAAGAAGGAAACTTACAAGAAAGCCCTTTGAAATCTAGGAACTGCTGCCCCAAGAGCTTCCTCCTACTGGGCTGTCCAGTTTCAGGCCCCATGTGTCTCTGCTGTTGTAGAGCGGGGACTAGAGGAACAGGCTGGAGTCCCAGTGGGAGCAAGGAAAATGAGAAGCGGACCAAGGCGGTAGAGCGACACTTTACCAGCTATGACATCTTGGGCCACTAGCTTGACCAAAGCCCAGCTTCACTGAATGAAAAACAGGGATAATAGGAGCACCCTGCTCGAAGAGTTGTTGTGAAGCTCAACTGAGTTGTAAAGCACTTAGAACAGAACCTGGCACTCGGTGTTAGCTGTTTTTATTCCAGAGTCAGGAGAAAGTACTCCAGCTTCAAGCAGGAGCGTGGCAGCGTGCGATCCGAGGACAGCGGGTGTGGGGGGGGAGGCAGCCCTTGGACCTCTCAGGCCCCTCCAGTTATAAGACAAAAAGCCTCTCTCCCTCGGTTATGCTGACTGTTCTGGGCAGTCAGAGTGGCCTGGGAAGAGGAACAGGTATCTGGGGCTGGGGATGCGCAAGCAACCTAGAGACTTACTGTGGCCACAAAGAATCACAGACTCTCTCACTGTTACGTCCCCTTGGCCCCTCAGCATCGCCACCTCCTCCGAGAAGTCTTCCTGGGATCTCTCCCCTGGACGTCTCCCCTCTGAACTTCTTCTACTACATGTTCCTTACCTTTCCCTGTTGCCTAATCAAAATTTCACAAAGGTGCTCAAACCCTTCAATCTCCTCCACCCCACCTATGGGGTTAGGCAAAATTTCTCGAGAGGAAATATAATGGATTTACATTTACATTCCTAAATCCTCCTGGGCTCTGGGCCCCGTAGTCCCTTTTCTGGCCGTTTCTCCTACCTTTTGTTTATCTCTAAATGTTGCCCTGCAGCCAAACTGACTGTCAAGATCACCCGGACACACTGTCTCCTTCCTGCCTCTACACCTTTGCTCCTGCTTTTTGTTCTCTTCTGCCTGGAACACCCTCCTGGTCTCAGCTCCTCCAGGACTTCGAGGGCCACAGGGCCTTTCCTCCATGCCCCCCTCCCTGTGTTCTCCACAGCACCTTGTTCTCCTCACATGGCACCTGCCCTACTTTGCCTGGAATCATCAAGGTCAGGGATGGTGTCCCCCTCACTTCCGCTTCCTCCATGACATCTTCCTACACTGCCAGTTGAGGGGCTTGCCAACAGCACGCTGTGTCAAAGAAGAGCTGTCCCACACCCGGCCTGGGGCAGAGCTCCTTTGTGATGTGATTCACAACCACCTCCCACAGGGAAGAAATGAACATTCCTGACAAGATGCTGAAGCAATTTCTGGGGGAGCTTTAAAGGAATTGAGCCTTGGTCTGGGAAACCGGCCACTCCCCTCTCCAGCTGACTTTCGGGCAAGAGTCTGGTGGCTGTTGACTGTCCTTGTAGCTAGTCCAACAATGATTTAACTGTTTTCTTACAGAAATATCCTGATCAGAGTCCATTTTTGAGTTGGCTGCTTAGTACCATTTTCCTTACAGTGCCACTGTAATGAAATTTTAATATGCACTCATAGCTAAGTTGTCTGAAAATTTTTTTGACTTAATTTTGAACTGCTTTTAAATGTATAGAAAAGGTGCAAAACTGGTAGAGGAGGTTTCCGAAGATCACTCACATAACCCGCATCAATGACAGCGTCTTACCCAACTGTCAAACAGTGTCAGAGCCAGGGAATTAACCTTGGTACCATATTAACTACAGATTTTATTTGAATTTTGCCAATTGGAAACTTTTTAAAAGTAAAGATTCTGAAGTCACAATTAGCTCATCTTAAATTTTATGTGATAAGTGGTTTTTTTAATCCTCACCTGAGGACATCATTTTCATTCCTTCTACAAAAAGGCAAAGAAAGAGAGAGAGAGTGAGAGAGAGAGAAACATTGATGGGAGCGAGGGGAACCGGCTGGCTGCCTCCTGTGTGCACCCAGACTGGGATCTGTGCTGAGATGAGGGGTCGCACATGCCCATGCTCGGACCGGGGAGAAAACCCCACAACCCAGGTATGTGCCTGGACTGGGAATCGAACCCACGACCTTTTAGTTATGGGACAACACTCCAACCAACTGAGCCACACTGGCCAGAGATATGTTGTAAGCCTTGAAGCCATACTCCCCACTCTTGCCTTTTGTCTAATTAAGCAGCTTCCAACATTTGCCCGTGCGATTGATCCCATTTTTTCCAATTTAAGTTTTTATTATAAAGTATTTTAAATATGCAAATATATATCAGCATTTATATAAAGTCACTTACTAGTATCGTAAAAAATATTTAAATATTCCCAAATCTATACCGAAACTCACAGACAATATTTAGGATGTTGATCTATCCATTCTTTGCAATGATTCTACACATCTTCTCCCTGGAGTTTGAGGCCCACAGGTTGGAAATCACCAGTAAACCCATAATAGACGGGAATGGGGAGAAATTTCTATTCGAAGGGCTTACTAGGGGTTGGGCAGTGCCGTGCCGCCCATTTCTCTCAGTTCCCGGGGTGGGGGGAGACAACTGCCTCCCTTAACTGCCTCCCTGGGGGTCACATGCTGCCTCAGAAATGGCCTCTTGGGATCCTGAAAGAGGAAGCAGGAGGCTTGTCAGGGAGCATAGAAAGTGTCAGAACATGTGGGAAGAGGACAGGAATAAGCGTGAGAGAGGTGGACTCATCTGGGGCCTGGGTTTGGGCGTCCGGGTCAGCCGAAGCAGGGCTCTAACCCCAGCGACACCACGGACAGTCTGAGCCATCTCAGGCAGATTATGTCTCTGAGCCTCAGGACCCTCGTCTGCAATATGGAGAGAATGTACGGGTCTCCCTCACGGGTCTGTGTTGTAACACTTAACAGAGAACGTGGCACCCACCAAGGACACACAAACCAACCCTCAAAAAGAAGGGCTGCTGGTCGTACTAACAGAAGTGGCAATCTCAGCCCTGGCCATGCTAATGCAAGCAAGGAGAGAATATAGATCGCCGTGGCTCTAAGGGTGATGGGGGAGCACCACGGGGACCCCCGGGGCTCGAGGGAGCAGGCGGGCAGAGAGGGCACCGCAGGGTGAGATGCCACATGACTGGAGAGGCCGTAGACCCGGTGAGGATGGCACCCATAGGACAAGGGCCTAGAGCCCACCCCGCTTACTCCTTGCTTCTAGAAGTCCATCTCACCTCCTCCCCCCATTCCTGGCTGCTTCCTCTTTCCCTGACAACAGCAGGTTGGTGGATGTGAAGCCCTCTAGAGATATTGCAGAAGCCATTTTATGGTGTCTCAAATCAGCCCAGTGAAAAAGCCCCAGGTCAAGGCCCACGTCAAGAGGTCTGAGGGAGAAGGAGCCCTCTCCCCATATCCTTGCCCAGCACCGAGGCTGGCCACAGAGCCCCCAGACTCAGAGTGAGGGTGTACAGGCTTTATTGGTTCAGTTCCAGGCTTGTGGCATCAGCACAGGGCTCTCAGCTGCTCCTGGGATCTGCCTCATCTGTCTTCTCTCAGTGGGTGAGCACTTGTGGGTACAGGGGCCTGTGAGTCTGTTTCAGTTGCTGCGCTTCTTCCCAGCTCTCCCTCCATGAAGGGCTGTCCTCTGTGGCAGACCCCACTCATGAAGTCAGAGGGGCCCAGGACCCCCGCAGGGGCCTAAGAGGGAAGGGATCAGGGTGGAGCATCTTACTCTGGGCCACACAGGTTGTCCCACGGAAGAGAAAACAGGCCTGTGGTTGTGTACCAACCCTGCTGGGGGAAGGGGCCGCTCCATCCGTGGTTAGGTGGCTTCGAAGGGGTGATAGGGCTGATGGCTGCGGTTGGGCAGGCTGTGGCTCTGGTGGCTCGGGTGGCTTGGATGATCCTGGTGGCCATGGTGACTGTGGCCATGGAAGGTGTGTGTGTGGTTCATACCAGCTACAGTGGTTTCCCGCTGGGTGAGGAAATTGCTTTTCAGCTTTATCTCCACCTCCCCGAGGGCCTTCAGCTCCTCCTGGTTGATGTCCTTGGGTTCCACGTGGCCCGAATTCTGGTAAACCACGGCACGCTGCATCATGGAGTTAGCCAGCTGCCGTCCCTTGGCATCAATCTCCTTAGTGCTAGTAGCCACGGCAGCCCATGTAGCCTCATCTGTTGATGAGGACTCCTTGTGGGTCTCTTTGACCACTGAGGATCCAAATACCTTCTGTTTGTTAGGGAAGGGCCCCTGGTGGCGAGGAGCGCCTGCTTCTCCTTGCCTCGGGGTGGCGATCTCCATGAGCGTCATGGTGCTGGCCTCTCTGTGGCCACTGTGAGGCTGCGGAGGGGCGGTACCGCTGCAGGTGGCCAGCTTCTCTTCGGAAAGGCGGCTGAAGTGAGACTTGATCCAGTTGTCGTTCTGTGCTTTGTGGCCTTGTGTGCTTTGTGGCTGGTGCTCATCTTGTAGAGACTCAGAAGTTATCTTCCTTCTCCTCTTCCTCTGAAGCCACAGTATGAGGCCTCCGCCTCCGAGTAAGAGGACTGTCCCCAGCACCACCTTGCATGATGGCTGCTGGATGAGCTCCAAGAAGTTCTCCAGGACCCTACGCCAGGCAGGCAGAGCTAAGAGCACACTGGGAGTGGGGGAGCCCAGATGGTATGTTTCATGCTTGAAAGGGCAAGCTCCCTGTGGGTGTCTGGCAGGCAGGCCCCCCGCTGCACCCTTCCTAGGATGCCCCTCCCGCCTCAGCAATGAAACCCATTATGAGGTTCGCTGGTGGGGGGGCCGGGTGGGGTGAGGCCACAGCATCCCTCTTGTCCAGTTTGGCAGACATTGCCTGAGGGTCCAGCTTCTGTCTCCCACCCTGATGGCTGTCTCCAACATCAGTGGAAGAGCAGCCTCCTCAACTCTGAGTCCCTTCTGTCTTCTGCTTGTGACTGGTTCTGCAACTCAGTCTTCCTTATCTTCCAGTCTTTGGGTTCTCTCTTCCTCCACCCACCACCCTCGTCTGCCACCTCCGCATTCCACCCCCACTGTCACCTCCCAGCCCCACTATGGAGCAAGATCCAGAAGGAAAAGGGGCCCAGAAAGGAGCTCATTCTGGAATAACATGAGGTCACAAATGGGTGGGCGGGGGTCAGCAGGACAGAGAAATAAGAACAGGACAAAAGAGGTCACCGGGCCCCAGATCCCTGGGGCCATTCCAGGATGGGGCTGCTACCTCTTACCCTAGTGATGAACCTGCAACCCAGAACTTAGCACCACCGCCCAGCCCACCCCTGGAGGTGGGCTCAGGGATGTTGTGAGCGGGTTGGCCCGTTGGCCAGGCTCTCCGTACGTACAGACAGCCGACGGCCTGGCCTGTAATCCCACGTTGTGCCCGGGCCTCTGTGGGAGGAAGCAGGCCTGGGCCACGCTCTTTTCCACCCAGAAACATTTCACACATTTTTTAAAACGAAAAAAAATGCCAAAAGGGGTTTGTAAAAAAAGCGTAATATTTTAAACAAAGCATTTTATTTAACAGAGTAATGGCTTTAATATACATGAAAATATTCTATCCCATCCAAAGAAACCATGGTCTAGTCCACATACTAAGGGAGTGAGACGCCAGTGCAAGGTTCTGTGGGAACATCGACTCCCCAGGCAGCCAGGGCAGCTGTGCTTGTCCGGCGACCTCGTCTGGAAATAACAACTCAAAGTTCATCTCTGAGGTTATTTGTGGGAGTGAGTTCAGGACCAAACGTCCCCTCTGCAGCAATTCCACTGCTAGTCTTTTAGATAAACTCTGTTATCTAAAAGAATACTCTTTATTCAAATAATGAGTTCAAATTAACAATGAAAAAAATAAAAAGAACTACAATCATCAATAATATTGAATAACTACATATGGTGTTATATGGGTACTAGATTTATTGGGGTGATCATTTTGTAAGTTATATAAATGTCTAATCACTGCATAATATTGTAATCAACTGTAATAAAAAATTTTTAAAAAGAGCTACAGAGTTTTAGGCAATGCCTTCCCTAGCTGCTCACTGACCAGTCTCTAGCTGCTCACTGATTCATCAAGGGCAGGTTCCCCTCTTTGGAGGACTTTCGATTTTGGAGGCCTTGGCAATGTGAAAGGGGATGGGTCTCTCCTTGGTCCAGAAGCGCTGAACTGCAATGTGGGGCAAGGATCAGGGAAGTGATGCACAAATCTTGCAGCTAAGGTGGCTCACCGCTCCCTTCCCAGGCATCTGGCTGTGTTCTGGGAGCAGTGATAGGACCTGATGGTTTCATGTGTTTTGTGCCAGGGCCTCATGCTTGAGCTCCTTGGGAGAAATGCATTGAACCCTATGGCTCAAGTCCCATTCTAAAATGAGGAAACTTCATTAGAGAGGTTTAGTGATTTCTCCAAAGTTGCTGTAATTGGTGGAACCAGAATTCTTTCCCAGTCGTCTAACTCCAGACGCTGGGCTCTTTCTACACAGCCCATTGCCTCTCTCCGCACCCCCACCCAGAGATGAGGTGGGAGCAGGCGCCTGCGTGGGTTGCAGGGGAGACAGTCTAGCATCCTGCCAAGTCTACTGCTGCCTGCGTTCCCCGTTCCCCGGGGAACCACTGTACCCTATGCAGGAGTTGCGGGGGCGGGGGGTGAAGGAGTCCAAATAACCCGGGGTCTCTGTGGATTCTCTGGGCAGCAGGCGTACATCAGACACAAAGTCTACCCTCCCCACCCCCTGCACTAAGGTGTCCTCGAACCTGGAAGGTGAAGCAGAATCTCTTCTCTTAGAGGTTCAAGGAGCTCCTCACTTTGCTTCAGGAGAACAAGGCCTCAGCTCAGACCTTCGGGCCCCAAAGCCCTGAGCCCCAGCAGAAATTTACTTAACAGTTGGTGCCACAGCTCAGCGTGAGTGTGGCCACAGAACATTCATTGTCCCCTAGGGAAGGATCGTATCACTTCAGCACTGAGATGTGAATGGGGTCTCGGTCAGGCCAGCAGTCACTGTCCCAAAACAGATTTGCCCACAGTTCCAATAGTACTGTCATCCTAATAATTGTTATTATTGGAATCAGTAGGTTCCAATGTGTCGCTACAACTCACAGCATGCTTTCACTTGCATTCTCCCAGGTTTTTCCCCCAACTATCGTATGAGCTGGACATTATTATTCCCAGGTGTCAGATGTGGGGGGGCTAAAGTTTAGAGGGGCTAGCTCACAGCTAAGTCAGTGGCAGAGCTTGATTTGAATCTAGAACCCATCATGTCCCCCTTCAAAAAATCCTCACCTGAGGCTGTTCATTGATTTTAGAGAGAAAAGAAGGAAGGGAGAGAGAGAGAAACATTGACCGGTTTCCTCCTGTGCAAGCCCCAATGGGGAATCGAACCTGCAACATAGGTATGTGCCCTGACCAGGAATCGCATCTGTAACCATTTGGCGTTCAGGATGACATTCCAACCGAGCCACCCAGCCGGGCCAGAGTCCACACTCTTAGCTGCTCCACTCACTGCCTCGGTTGGAGCCACTCCATTCCCAAAGCTGGTGCTGCCCAGGCGCTGCAGAAATCACCTGAACTCTGGCAGCCAGTGCGATGGAGTGAAACTCAGCATGGCTGGGCAGTGAGACCGGGGCTCGAGGCCCAGCCCAGCCATGTACTAGTAAGTAACTTCGGGCGAGTGACTGTGTCACTCTGAGCCTCATCTTCCCATCTGGGAAGTAGGGCTCTTGAGAGGACTGCCTCAGGGAGTCCTCACGAGCAATAGATGAGGGTGGGCAGGGCAGGACGGAAGGGCTTTCCCACTCCTTCTGCCCCCACTCATTGTGCTTGTGGCTGTGTTACATGCTGAGTGCCACAGATATGACCTGGGCCCTGGCCTCAGCCAGGAAAGACCAGTGTGCAGGGGGAAGTGAGTCAGAGGACCCAGAACAGGAATTAATTCAGCCAAGGGAGGCTTTGCCCAGAAGAGTGTACACAAGGCTTTGAGGGAAATGAGCCTGCTGGCTGGGCTGCCACCTGGCACCCTGGCCGCCCCTGAACCTGCACGGAGGGCCTGCTGGACAAGGACGTTCACGCCCATTATCTGGTCTGATCCCCACGCTAATGCTGGGAGCTAAGACGGTGCGTTAGCAGTTTACAGCTGCAGGACTGAGGCAGGAGAGGTTCAGTCAAGGTCACAGGCCAGCTTCCCACCTATCTCCTGACTTCAGACAAGTGCCCTCTGTCCCTGTTCCATAATAAAATGACCTCAGGGTAGTCCACTGGTCCTGAACAGCTTGACAGAGCCCGCGTGCCTTCCTCTGGCCTCTGGCCGAAGAGAGCAGCATCATTCACATCTCCCCCTAGCCCACAGTGGACAGGCCCACTTACCTCTGAAGGGGAAGGTGCCCAGTTTGCGCAGATTCTCTTCCAATTTCCCATAGTCCACCTCTGCGGTGGCAGTGAAGGGAGTGGTCACAGGGGGGTAGATGCCTGCGATGTCCACCTTCCTCCCCTCCCCTGAAGTCTGGCCCCTCACATTCCTAGATAAGCCCCTGCTCAGCCCCTGCCTCACAGAGGACAAGACTCGAGAGCCCAGCATCTCCACAGGAGGCCCGGGGTCCAGCTAGGCTCTGCCCTAATGGGAGAGCTGTTTGGACTCCTTGTCCACGCTGTTAATGATCAATGTGTCTAGTTAAAAATTCGCTGCCCCCTGACTTGTCAGCCCTGGTGAAGGCTGGGCTGGGTGTCCCCAGGGTCAAAGGCTAGGCCTGTAGGTCCCAGGGGGGGGTCTTCCTGTCTCTGGAGAGCAGCTAGAGAGAGGCCACAACCCCACGTCCCTCTACCAGCCGGAGGGCTGGCTCCCGGGGTCCTGACACTAAAGGGTGTCTCTAGTGAGGCCTAGGCCCTCCTTCCACAATTCCCAGCCCCAAAGCCAGGAGCCCTGCCAGCTTGCTCTTGGCAGTTCCGTGGTTGGTTGGAGGAGCCAATTGGCTGAGCCTGTGGGAGGCGTGGCAGGCCTGGGTGATCCACAGTCCCTTGGCTGCCCCACTTGCCAACCAGGCTCCTCCTGTCAAGGCTGCCACGTGACAGGCCTGCGCTGGCTACACGCAGCCCCACAGGACAGCAGTCACAAGGTGGGGGGCGGGCCAGGACGAGTGCACAGTGAAGCTGATCCACTCTAGCACTTGGGAAGAGGGGTGACAGGGTAAAGGAAGGAGGAGAAGCAGAGACACAGCAGGGCTGGCTCAAGCGGCCAGAAAGCTCCCAGTCCCCTCCTCCCCAGCTCATTCCTGCATTCCTCACTATTTCAGACTCAAAAAGAAATAAATATCACACATAGCAAAATGACTTTTTTATTTCAGTAGGTTGTGGGTGCTCCTGGGTCTTCCCCAGAAAAATGGGGCCATTCAAGTGTTTACTGGGCTGGCACAGGCTGGGGGCTCTCCCGCCCACTCTCAGCAGCACCCTCCAGCCCGTTCTGCTCTGACCCCAGCTCAGGGTGCACCAGAGCATTGCGGGTGTCAGCTTGCCACAGCTGCACCAGGTCCGTGGGAGTCTTTCCTGCCTGGGGGAACCAAGAGGAGATCAGGTCACTGCTCAGAAGGCTGTACCAGAAGGTGCCCTCATCCATACCAGCAGGTCCCTACAGGGAGCAATTGGCAATGTCTGAGGACCTTTTGGTTATCACAACTGGGGAGTGGAAGTGGGGGTAGGTGGTGGACGGGTACTACTGGCATCTTGAGTAGAGTCCAGGTACACTGCTTAGACATCCCTCAATGCACAGGACAGACCCCACCACAAAGAATTAATTATCCAGCCCCAAATGCCAATAATGTCAAGGTGGAGAAGTTCTCATTTACACCCTCCCCATAGCTTCCTGACTTGCCCATATTTCCTCAGTCTTTCTTGATTTATGGGGAACCGCCCACCCCCCACCATTCTCCCCTCTTTTCATGATTACTCTGCATCCCAAAGAAGAGCTTGGACTAGGGGATATGGGGTCCTAAGAGAACTCAGGGACACCAGGAACAAACACTGTGTGCCAAGAATGGTCACACCCACTAGGTGCTTAGGTTCCTTCCAGCTCTCTCCCTCCATGATTTTGGCCTCCCTGGGGCTGGACGTCAGGACCCCTTTGGTCTATCTGGGGGCCTCTGGGAAGTTCCCTAACTGCCCTCCAGGCAGTTTCTCTGCACTTGCTCTCTGGACATAGACAAGCATAGAGAGGATTGAAAAGCTGGGTGGGCCTGAAAACCCCAGGGTCCCCGAGCGACTCTCCGCTGTGAAAGTGCTCCAAGGGCGGGCAGGCTGGGCCCTGCTCAGCTCTGTTTCCTCTGAGTGCCCAGCACAGGGCCTGGGAGTGCCATGCACACTGATGGCTGAGTCAGGAAAGGAACGAACTTACCAGGTTCTTGGCCATCATGTCGGCCCCATGCAGGAGCAGCAGCTTGATGATTTTGTAGCGGTTGAGCCTCACAGCATCATGCAGCGCACTGTCCCCTTCCTAGAGCCAGCGAGACACTCAGCGTGGCCCACATGGGCACATGGGAGCCCTCGGGCTGCCTGAACCCCTATGGTGGGGATGGGCGAGCAACAACTCGGACACTCACTCTGTCTTTGGCATTGATGTCCAGGCCCAGGGACAGAAAGTACTCCACGATCTCCACGTGCCCCGTTCGAACAGCCACATGCAGGGGGGTGCTCAGCAGCTGGGTAGGGAGGAAGCAGGAAATGCTGGCTAAAGGGGCCTGGACTGTGTGCCTTTGGGAGGCGGGCTGTCTTGATTCTAGAGTTATCCATTCCCCATGTCCTAGTTCCAAGTCCTGATTCCTGAAGGGACAAGGAATACTACCATTCTCACCATCCTATCCAATGGCCTAGTTCTGAAGCATTACATGCTGCCTCCTCTGGGAAGCCTTCCATGATTCCCCTCTCACCCAGTTATGAGCAACTGCTCACTATCTGCCCTGTTTTAATAATTAGAATAGATATCATTTATTGAAAGATGACTATGTGATGGGCATGCTAAAAGCTTATAAAACATTAGCCTTATGTTGAATAAATAATTAATTTGCATACTTTTTTTCACCTAATCTACACAAGAACTCTGCAAGACATTTTACAGATGAGCAACGGAGGCTCAGAGGCTGTCACTTCTCAAGGTCACATACAAAGGAATAAATAAATAAAAGATGGATGAATGAATAAATAAGCGAATGGATGGATAAATGGGTAGACAGATAGAAGGATGATAAAGAACTGCATGGATGAACAAATCCTGCATCTCTGTGGTGGCCCCAAAGCCCCCAAGATAGTGAATCTCTTCTTCTCCCCCCTCGGCTGCTCTTCCTGCTCCCGTCCCCAGATGATGGTTTCCGAGGGCCTGCAGTGGATGGAAATGATCCAGCAACCAGGCTCATTCACTGCCTTCCTGCCTTTCCTGGCTTTTCTGCCCTCTGCCCCCCCCCCCCCCCCCCCGCCTGCAGCTACTCCAATATCTGTAAGCATATTGCCCCACCTTGTCCCTCATGTTGGAGTCTGCCCCTCGGCTTTGCAGGAGTTTCACCACCTCCAAGTGGCCCCCACGGCAGGCCCAGTGCAAGGCTGTGCAGTCCAGCTAGAAGGGAAGGATGGGACCCAGTTGCAGAGCTTCAGGGAAAGTGCCCTGGGGGAAAGGACCCCATCCAAAAGGGGAGGGAGGTATCTAGGAGAAGGGTACAGGGAAGGGATGGGGCACTTCAGTGCCTGGACAATGGATCAGGCAGAACATAAAAACCCTTGGGGCCCATCTAGTCCAAGCTGGATTCCCAGAGGAGAAGATGGGGCCTGCCCAAGGTCATCCAATGCACTAGAGGTGGGGCCTGGCTCCTGAGGCAGCCTGTCGCTGTCTCAGGCTGTCACATAGAGAGGGAGTCTAGACCCACCTCCGCCTGCCATACAATACCTGCCCTCTTGCTCACCCGATCCTGAAAGTCCACAGTGGCTCCACTCTCCAGAAGCTTCTCCAGGATTTCCATGTGGCCCTCCAGGGAAGCTCTGTGCAGTGCAGTCCTTCGGAACTGTTTCCATAGCGATTGTCAAGGCCTGACCTTTGGCCCCAGGCCTGAGCTCATCTCCCTCAGCCTGAGGCTGAGGCCGAGGCTGTACCCCAGCTTGATTCTGAACCCCGCACTGGGTCTCCACCTCTTCTGTGTTCTACCAGCTCCTCATGCGCTAACCAGGCCACCCTTGGATCCCTTCTCTGCCCTGGAGACTCCGACCTTCTCACTGCCTCCAAGTACATCAAGCCAGGTTTTTGCACAGGCTGCTCCCCGTGTCCCAGGATGCCCATCTGGCCCTCACTCCCTTGAGTGCTTGATGAATTCTTGCTGTTCCTTCAAGATGCAGCTCAAGTGCTATCAACTTCTTGAAACCTCTAGGCAAGAGCCAACCCAGGCGCCCAGACAACCCTTCAGCGTGAGAGAGTGTTTGAGGGCAGGCTGCATCTTACTTGACCCTTTCCCGAGTGCCTAGCCAGGGCCCAGATGAGCAGGTACACCCAGATTACTGATTCAAGAAAAGAGTGAACTTCCTCCCTTCCCAACGACTTTCTGCTTTGGTCTCATGAAACATCAGGCTCCCTACTACTTTTAACCCTTGTTTTTTTATTCCTTGTACTCGGTACCTCACAGTGCTCAGAGGGCGGAGATGCTTAGATAGAACAAGAATATTAAGACTCTGGAGTTTGAAAAATTGAAAGGATATGTAATCTAAATCTACAATAATGCAGGCTGCAGGAGGTGCCGGTTAATTTGCTCAACCCCAGTTTACGAGTGCGGGAGAGCACCCTGCACAGTGAGAAAGAGGCTGTTTCAAGGAAATGACAAGAAAAAATAGGGTGGGTGATGGAAACATTTTTAAAATAGTCCTGATATTTTGCACAATATTATAAATGTAATCTAATCAAGACTGCTGAATTGTACACTTAAAACGGCTAAAATGGCATAGTCCATGTTATATATATTTTATCGTAACAAAATTTAAAAAATGTTAAAGGACTATGATATACATACAACACAAAACTGTTATGTCCTAGCATGTGCTTTACAGTTTTTTTCATTCATTCAACACTTATCAAAGCACTATTATGCCCTTTGCTCTCCATAATACGCCCTGAGGGAGGCAGGCGTTTTACAAAGGAGGAAACTGAGGAGAAGAGAGGTGATGGGCCAAAGGAGAGCTCACATGACTAGGGAGTGCAGGAGATGGAATGCAAGCCCCAAACTCCTGGTCTTGGGCTCTTTTTATTTGATTCCATTCCTCTTTCTTTCCTAAAAAAAAATCACGTGACCCTTGGTACTCTGGATGGGGTTCACGTTGAAAGGGTTTAAGGATTTAGACAAATTCCTGCGCAGGAAAGAGGAATTCCAAATCTGAGGACGCCCCTCCCAAAGGACACTCAACACCTGTTCTCAGGCAGGTGCACAGGTGGGCGGGGTGGGGGGCAACTCTGAAGGGGAGGCCAGCATGCATGAAGGGGTGGGTGAGAACATCACCTGATCACAGGTGTCCGGGGAACCCCCCTCATCCAGGAACTTCTCAATGACCTTCATTTTCCCTTCCACCGCTGCTTTCAGGAATGTCTCCTCCTCCACAGGGCCAGTCTGGAGGGCATAAGTGCCATCATGGAGGGTCACTGCGTGGGGATCCAGGCCCTCCAGGGCTCCCCTGCCCACACGGGTGTCCTCCCAGGAGGCTTACTATCTCCTCAGGCTCTGGAGGCGGCTCCTGGGCAGCCAGGGCTGCTCGCTTCTTCTGCTTCCGTTTCTTCCGCAGCTCGATGAGGTTCTGGATCCCACCCACGTCGATGATTTCCCGCCGAAGGTCTAGGGATGTCTTGCGCACACGCTCTTGGCCCTGCGTGGGC